ATATCTTGTTTCCAATCAACGACAATAAGACCATAACTAGCGATATGACTTTGGTATTCAAAAGTGTTTTAGCAGATTCGATATTAATTGGTTTAATTAGTGTCTCAAAATCAGCATACAATGAATGGATATGGTTGTAATGCTTTCCATTTCATGAAACCAATTTTGCTTGATTCATGTGGGATAATAACATGTTGATCTGAACTACATGTTTCCAAATGTTTCTCAAGTCTTGAAAAATTTTAAATCCAACAAAACATCTGTAACAATGATATAATCCTGATCCTTGTTGGTTCAAAAGACGGTTAAAATTTTGATGAAATAGTAATGACCTTGAAGTAAAATAATTTGATTTTAATATCGAATTTGTATTTACTCAACTGTAAAGGTATAATATTTGTGTCAATATCTAATGAATATATGTTGATTGAAATTTCATTTAACCGCTCAAACTTTGGAATATCAATTATGTCAACAAATCCTTTGCATCCATTGAAATTATGTTTGTGAATGTGTTCTTTATAATGTGATGTTCTTTGTGGGTTATCTTTGTGTTGATATAATGCTGCTAGGACTGACCACATGAAACAATTTTCTTCGCAGTCAATCGAGATTAACGCCTTTTTATTCTGTATCCAATCTGGTAATTCTAATTCACGACAACCCCCACTTTGAGGAATAAACTTTGCAATACGTATTTCGATTGATGATATCTTATTGATTGACCAACCGCTACCAAGATGAGTAAATGTATCGATTCGATTATTCACCTCATCTTTACATTCGTCAAGAGTTATGAATATATTATCTCTTAACGTAATTGTCTTCATTGATGATGTGAAATAAGGTTGAATAGTTTTTTCACCGTCTGGTTTAGTAAGAAGTCCATTAACACAAACTTGATACTTGAAAACACCGAGATATTCAAACACATAAAAAAGTAAATCTTCCATATTAGTTCGTTGATCAATAAACATTTCATTTGTATCTCTGTAGGTTAAATTATTCACTAAATAAATTAAGAGAAACTGTCGAAAAGCACTTTTCATAATTTTATAGGGAGGAAAATCTACTAAACCATAAGTTTCAGTAGACTGACACTGTTCAATATGTTTACGAAAGTTTTTCTCAATCTTATAAGTACGTTTACACTCAAAGCACTTAAATGAAACCATTTTTGTTGAATGAATGATGTTCGAAGATTGTCTTTATATATAATACAACATGATATGGTTATTAAAAAAACATTAATGAAAATGAATCGATAATCTATACAATGAAACAAATTTTATATGATTGAAGTTAAAATGAATCGATTATCTATACAATGAAACGAATTTTATGTGATTGAAGTTAAAATGAATCGATTATCTATACAATGAAAAAAATTTTATGTGATTGAAGTTAAAATGAATTGATTATCTATACAATGAAACGAATTTTATGTGATTGAAGTAAAATGAATTGATTGCCAATAGATGTTTAATTGAATCAAAACGAATTTACGATTGGATATATGGGTGTTGGTTGTTGGTGATGAGTATAAAGACGTTGAACAATCTTAGTTTCGATCATTCATCATCTTCATCTCCAATAAATCACTTAAAATGTTTTATCATTCAATTTGTGCTTACTTTCATTTCCAAAGTTGAAATGATGAAATTGAAATTGCAATGAAATCAGGTGATCAACTATTTCATGCGTATTCAAAAGTCAACTCTATTGTCTATCGTTTTCTCTTTGGTAATATTCGAACCATTTGGTCTGAATTATGTTATCTTCGCCATCTCCGCAATTCAACCTGTGAAGAGGATAAAATTTTTCACTTTGTCTACCTATTCTGGACCTGTATAAAGAAGGAAGGACGATCTGTTATCGCCTGCTTGGATAGAAGGTCAAGTAATCTATTGGAATTGTGGGGTATCAACATACGATTTATCTACGAAAGGATTTGATTACAATGATCTTAGTGTTGATTGAAGTTTGTCCATATCTATAAAACAATGAAGAATGTTCATTACCTGTAATTGATAGACTTCATTTTGTTTATGAGCTCTATGATGATACATTGATCAATAATTAAAAATATGAATTATTTAATTTTTTGTTTTTCCCGCCATTTATAACTCGGTAAATGATGATGAGAGAGAGAGAGAAAAAGAAAGAGTAAATTTGTGTGCCAGAAGTGGTAATATTTCACTACTTTCTAATCTGATTGAATCAATAAGTTTCGAAATTTCAACCTTAGGCGATTAAAGTTTCTTTTGTAGATTTTTCAATTGTTCAATAAGAACTGTAATCAAATACTTTTAGTAATTGACTTAGAAACATGAGTATCAGTTGGAAATTTCAATTTCTATTTTCTGAATATGGAAAATCTTGTTATTTTATCTCCTTCTTCGATATTTTCAGGGAGAAATCTATTTACCTGTTACCTTTTAACACATTCAATGTCAGTTAAATTCTAAGACAAGGAAATTACAAAACTTCCGGTGATTCGAAAAAGTTTCAATGTAAACTCAAATCTACATGATACTTAGAATCGAGAAACGAATTTTTTTCATCACAAATTACTATTAATAAAAGAAACTTGAGTTGAAATGATTTCCTGAATTTCATGGAGTTGGAAATCAGAGAGAGAGAGAGAGAGAGAGAGAGAGAGAGAGAGAGAGAGAGAGAGAGAGAGAGAGAGAGAGAGAGAGAGAGATTATCATTGGAAATACATTACAAGTTCCAACTATTTACTGAGTAAATATCCTCAGGGCAAATGCAAATGGAAACATTTTATATCATCAAGTGGGTTAATTATCCTTTTGTTTAAGAATTGATTTCAGTTGGATGAATAAAGTAAAAGAGTTTTCATCATCTACTTAATTAGTTGATCAATCAATGAATAAACTCCCAGTGAAGCAATTTAAGCTAATCAATTGATTCAATAGTTGATAATATCCTTAATTATTAATAGATTTCGTGATATAATTAACTTATTATCAAAGCTAATTACTTGAAGGTATTGAAAATTATGTAACATGATCTCAATCAATACACAATCATATTGATCCAAATTGATACTTTTTTTTAATGGTTGTCTATTGAATCCCAATCAAAGCAGATTAATTTGATGTGGTTAAGTTAATTTGATAATCAATACCTTATCTAACACTCATTAATAACTCTAGTTGATATTTTATCAATCAATAGTTGATAATATCAATAGGAATGATTTTCATCTCAATTAAACTGATTTAATACTTGTGATAAACTTTTGTAACAATTTCATAATAATGATTATCTTAATCTTAATAATCATTAATCCTTGTAATCAATGAAATTGTTGTATGTACCTGGACAATCAGTTAATCAAGCTGATTAATTTTTCTCAAAATAAATGGATTAATAAATTTACCGTTATAATAATTTGTCTGGTATTGAATAAAAAACAAACATCAATTGAAAAACATTTCATAATTTATTGAGTAATTTTTGTAACTGGATTAATCAATCAAGGTGAAAATATCAATAATATGATTAATTGAATAACATCAACTGAATATGACAGTTTGATTTAGTTTCAGCTCAACAATTAAAATCAATCAGAATCAATAAAAAGCAATTAGGCTTAAAGTTGAAAGAATTCCAATAATCCAATCAATTTAATCAAGATTTTCCTCTAATTGTTTATTAATTGGATAATTTTCAAACAATTTTAATCTTTTAAATCAGATAATCGATAACAATTTAAACTTAAATTCTTGTTGATCAAAGTAAATTGAATTTCCCGCCTTTTTTTCAAACTCATTTCTTTTTCTAAATGTAAACAGATGATTTGAAATTAATTGTTTTCTTTTCAACCAAATTAACTTTTTAATTAATTATTCTGGTTTTTAATTTTCACTTAATAATAAATTCAGTATGTATCAAGATTGTATTCTGATCCTTTTTATATCCATTTTCACTGCTCTTCTAGGTGAAGGTTAGTTTTCCTTGTCTTGGTTTTCATTTACTCTTTTGGGTTATTAATTTTGTAAATTGATTCTTATGATTTTCTGTCAACAAATTAAAATTAATTGATTTTTTTTTATTTTCCTGTCTTATTTAGCTCTTACCTGGCTTATGGTTTACCGAACTGAGAAGTTTAAAAAATTGAAAGGTGAAGTTGAACGACAGTGTAAAAGATGTAAGTTTATATTGTATTTGAGAATTTGAGTTCATTTTTCAAATTTTCAAATTCTTCCATTGGAACTTTTTGATTACTTCTCTCTCTCTCTTCATTGGTTTATCAGTGGAAAAGAAGAAGGAGATTGTCGGTGAATCAAGTGATAAACAACAGAAAAAGAAATTGGAACGTGAAGAGGAAAAATTAAAGAATCATAATCGTGACCTTTCACTTGTCAAAATGAAATCTATGTTCGCTATTGGTTTGGCCTTTACGGCTCTTCTTAGTATGTTTAATTCAATGTAAGTTTCTCTCACTGCTCACATTTCATCAGAATTTCATCATGAAAGTCATCAAATTTTCTATTAGTTTCGATGGACGGATTGTCGCAAAGTTACCATTCGAACCAATTTCATTGATCCAAGGATTGTCTCATCGGAACATTTCTGGAAATGATTACACTGATTGTTCCTTCATTTTTTTGTACATTTTATGTACCATGTCAATACGACAGGTAAGCATAACAATTAGTCCTAATTAACGAAGGAAAACCCATGTTCTATTCTATGAAAAATTAATTTTTCTTCTTTTTCTTTGAATAATATCTGACAGAATATTCAAAAAATTTTAGGATTCGCTCCATCGAGAGCCGCAAGTAAACAAACTGCTAATATTTTCGGTACAGTCAATACAACTCGATGATTTAGTAAATTAACTAGGATAGAATAAGCAATTATATCCAATAAATAATTTAAATTTTTCTATCAACCAATTGAAGACAATTGACTTGACAATGTTTTCGTCAAACTAATATTGTCATTTTCATTTGAAATTTGAGCTTACATTTGGTTTATCAAGGAGAAATGAAAGATTCGTTAATTTTATTGGATTAAAGAATCAAATCTTCATAGACTTTTTCTCCAGAAAACATTCTCTCCCAGGAGAAAGGTAATAAATTAAATCCTAGCTCTTCGGGATAGTGACCTTTCAATTGTAGATCGGCCATTGCTCGACCAACCGCTGGAGCCATTTGGATACCATGTGAACCGAAGCCACAAAGCCAAGTGATGTTATTGTAAAAAGGATGATTTCCAATGATCGGATTACCATCGTAAACATTTTCATCGCAATAACCAGCCCAAGCAGCGACCAATTTGACCTTTTGAAATCCTTTAACCCGATTCGATAAAATTGGATGAATTACTTTCTCAAAGAAACTGTAATCAACATCCAAATTACCAGGATCTGGTTCCTCTTCCTAATCAACATCAGAGAGAATTAGTTAGCCTACAATTGAACAATTTACATAATAATGTACCTTTGTTGGACATTTAGTAACAATAAAGTTTCCACCTAAACCATCCCGTCGGCAAATTACACCGCTTGGGTCAACTATCACAGGAAAATCTAATATTGGAGCATCCGGAGCATTGAAAACGAAAACGTATCTCTTTCTATTTATGAATAAGAGAAATTTTTACATAATAATTAGATGAAAATTGGTCAATAACAATCAATTGTTACCTTGGCATAACTGGTAAAGGAATACGTCTTAGACCGGGCGTTGTTCCGATTCCCAAAGTCTCAGCGAGTACCCTTGATTCGGCACCACAGCAAACTATACAACGAGCGAACGATATTTGTCCAATCTCATCGTTTGGAAAACGTATCAGGGCATTATTACATGTTTCCATTGGATCGTTTAGTTCATCTCGATAAAATGAAGTCGGAAATGCGACATTTGTATTGAAATCAAAAACTTCCCCTTCCAAGAAAGTTGTACCAAGAAATTCAGCTTTACCCTTTAACGCAACGAGAACCGGATAAGGATCAATCCAACCTTCATCTTGTAAACCTAAGGTGGCGAAAACGATTCCCTCGGTGTTCAACCAGGGGAATCTTTGACTCAACACATTGGGCGATAAAATGTCAACAAAGGCTCCACATTCAGTCTGTGTTTCATGATATTTGATGAAATTTTCAGCTCGAATGGGATCGACAAGGAACATGTACCCCTGAGGATGGAAATTGAAATCCGGTGGATCGGCATTCATCATACTCAAATGATCCTTTGCCTGCCTGTAAAATTGAGCTCCCAACGCGGCCATTTTCACATTAGTCGGGTGGGAAAACTGTTGTCTAATACATCCCAAAGATAAATTAGATGCTGCATGTGTATACTAAAGATAGAATAACAATTTCATGATTAGAAAAAGAGAGAGAGAGAGTACAATTCAATTGAATCAAATTAGAATATACTTACATTATAATCTCTATCAACAACGATAATTGAAGTGGTTTTACCCCAAATTTGTTGAATGAAAAAGGCAGTGGATAGACCGATGATCCCACCGCCGATAATCAGGAAATCACAAGTTTCAGGATAATCAACTAAAGGCTTTTTCAGTACATCTGCAAGGGTTTTGGTCCAATCCTTTTTAGAATCGGTTAATGAGGAACTGGGAATTCGGGGATCAATCGTTGTGTGGAAAATAGGATAACGAAAGGTAAAATCAGTTTGCGGCTGAAAAACAAATGATGAATCAAATTTCGGTGGTTGTTTCACAATCTCTCGGTATTTGGCTAATCGGGCATCGCGTTCGGCTGCAACCCATCGAGGTTTACTGTTTACATTTAGATCTGAACTGTCAACATGGTTTAAATTACTGGAATCTTGATTGTTTCCATTGTTTTCCGAACCCGATTTTGTATCATTTTCATTGATTCCTTTGTCTTTTTGTTGCTCATCAATGGATTCACTTAATCTCCTTCTCGATCCTTTAAGTAACGAATTGAAATGGTTCAAATATCTTCTACCAGCTAAATGACGGGTTAATCCGGGTGACATTTAATCTAAATTTGAATGGAACAATTTAAACACCAAAAAAACATTTAAAAAAAAAGGAAAAATAAAAATCAATGTAACTATAAACAACCACGAGTTGGTGATCAGCTGTGAATGAGATTCTCAAAGTCACCTGACTGGAAAATGTAAACACTAATCATAACAATTGAGATTTCCTCTTGTTTTTTGATTGTTACAATTAGAAATATATTTTTCTCTTAAATTGCTTAACAATTTTATTCAAATCAACAATGATCAAGTAATGAACTTTTTGATATAAAAATACAAAGTTATAAAAGTTGAATACAATCAGACAATTTTGTGTCTACATGGTGATGATAAGACTTGAATTAGATTTGTAACTGATTTTTGATCACTAGAGACTAATTAAAATATTATTGATCACTGATCATCATTTTAGATGGCAAATCTATTAAAGTAACTGGGTTAGATTATTTGGCGAGTCTATTGGCCATAATTTAAATTGTGGTTTGAATTTCAAATAACATGTTTCATGTTGATGGAAATGAAAGTGAACATGAAAATTGTGATGAAAAGTGTTGATTTGATGTTCATTTGTCCGATGTGTCTAATGGATTCCATGGGTTTCCTTTTCAACAGAATTATCTCCTTGTGGTGTTTGATTGATTAAGAAGATCCCAAATGGAACCGGCTACTTGCATCAACCTGACAATTGGAACTCTTCCTGCAACAATTTGGAGTAAAAGTGAAACAACACTGCGAACATATCGATGAGAATTGGCCATTACCGTTGGATCTTGAATTTCCATTTGATTTGTCATGAATCTGATCACATTTTCAACAATTTCTGTGGAAACCGGTCGAACTTGATTAGTATTATCACCTTCACCTCTTTCACTTGCATCAGAGTAATTACTTTCCATAGAATCAGATTCACCCGATGGCTCCGGTAACGATGAATGAGGAAGATCAATGATATTACAGTGAAGATCCGATGTATTTGGAGATTTGATTATCCTATTAATTGACCTTCGAGCTTCCAATCCAATACCAGCATCTCTCATAAAACTATCAGTTAGGCCTTTCAATTGGTCTATATTATTAATCCCAAGACGCAATAGTTTTTCAATATCTTCCTCGTGGACTCTTCCTTTACGTAGTTTAATCAACCATCGAGGTGGAGTGATTTGATTGAGCTGTTCAATGGTCAAAGTTTGCACATTAATTGGTACAATTTCACCACAACTTGCTCGTAAACTATTGGTCAAGATGATTGGTAACCAGGCCGATTTCACGGACAAAGGACCGAAGGCTCTTTTCCCGTGTTTAACCAACAATCTATCAACTTGATCGATATTAATTTCGTTTAACAAAACATGATCACCCATTATTTCATTACAATACCAGTAAATTCACTTAAAGAAAACAAAAACTCTAAACAATTAAAATTAATCCAACAAGAGATTAGTAAACAATTTGGTCAAAACAAAAAAACGCTTTTAAAGAGATGACCAAATGTTCAAAAGTAAATCAATTAGGCGCCAAAATGAAAAATCTACAGAGACATCAAGTGAATTTTAATCGAACTAATTTTCGATTAAAATTTCCAATCGAAGTTGAGATTTGTTGACAATTTACTTATTCTCATTGAGAAAACAATTAATCAAAATTTAATCTCTCTTTATCTTGTTAATTGTCTTGCAATGAACACTCTTTAAACTTGAGTGTCAATTCAATAAGTCTAAAAGTTAGCAAGTTAACAATCAAGTTATTGATCATCAATTGATTGATTGGTTAGTTGATTGTTAGAAAAAAAATTTTTTCTATCCACCAATTCACCAATTGTAAACCTCAATTAACAGCAATTAACTATTAACACTAAGACGATAAATGAACAATCAATGATTACCTTTTTATCTTATATATATTTACTTAATTTGATTGATTCAAAGACAATAAACTTTGATTACAATTAAGATGAAGTTAATTAATTTTCCATCAATAATTAAAGTCTCTTTTTTTTCCCCGAGAATCAATTTGATTATGATGGTCAACCAATTAATCTCTTTGAAGATGATTAATTCATAATCAGTATCATGTAGTTTAATTATAAATTGATGGTTGATTATTATTAATATAATCAGGCCAATTTATTTTCCCATTAAAAATAAACTTTCATTAAATTGTTGCAGGTTAATTTTGTTTGTGTGTTGATTACAATTTAATGATGAATAAGAAATAGATTTATTCAAATTAACTGAAAAAAAAGCTTAATTGTAAACAGAGGAAACTCAATTCATCACAATCATCTTAATCATTTGTAATTCATATTTGATAACCTTAATTTATTAATGATTATCACGGATTCATGATAACAATTTAATGTTTATTGTTATAACAGTAATCAACAATTACCAACAAGAGTAACAGTTAAATCACAATTTAATAATCAATAACCAATTGTTTTATGACCTGAACAATTTATATGTACAAATTTAACAACAACAAATCAACTTGAATCTTAATTGTGATCAACAATCAATCACTCAATGGGAAACCTTGTTACTCTTGTTGTTAATTTAACTGGTTAACAATTTACAATTATTACCTGGATCCCAATTGATTGCTCATACAAGATTATCAATACTGATTAACCATCACAATCAATGTTAATCATCAATATAATTAACATGAGAAACTTTTAATTGTTCAACGATTTTAATTATTACCAAACTTTTTTTGCGCGAATTTTTTTTTCAAAAAAAAATCTCAACTTTCTCTTTTTATATTTACATTTATTTATTAATTAATTAATAATTATAATGGGTAATTGTTGTCAGGGAAATTTAGGTTTGATTGAAAAACACAATTAAAAAATATATTCATTGATATAATTAAAGATTCAATTGATTGTAATTAGAATCTAATTTGCTTTTTGATATAAATCGTTTCAATTTCATTTCTTTCAAGCTGAAATTCAATGGATCATGATTGATGGAAACGTTAATTGTAACAATCATTAAGATGATAACGATGATGATGATGATGATGATGATGATTCTGATGATTTGATTGTATACAATTGATGAGATGTAATCATGATAATTTTACTAATTAGATTTCGCAACATTTTCAAGTTAATTAAAACGGCGAATTAATTGAAAAATTAATCTTCAATTGTGTTCCCATGTCGTTGATTATTTGCTAATATCAATTATAATCTTAAATCTGTTAATTGTCCAATCAAAGTAATTAAAATTAGATTTAAAAAATAAAAAGTTTTTCCCTAGAAATTAATTAAGGATGATAATTGTTTGGAACCTCAGATCCAGGATAATTTAATGTCTCTCTCCATGCCCTTAAATCAGGAGTTGGAAGTGATTTACATGGTACAACTGGATTTCTGTTGAAATTAACGGAAAAAGAGTAAAACAATTAGTTAATCATGCCAACAATCAGCTGATGATGGAAAGTGAGGAGAAAACAATTAAATTGATGAAAGAATCAAGAAGCAAGAAAAAAATCACTTTCAACTTGAATCAATGTCTCAAACTGTTCAAGCAAAGTAGATGAAGAAAAAAAAAACTTCAACTGATTAAATTACTTTAACAATCAGAAAATGTATTAATCATCACATCGCAACAATTTAAATTGTGTTGAAACCATTAACAATCACGATGATGATAAAACTGTTTCCGGATTAGTGATGAAAAAAAAAGTGTTCATCACAGTTAACAAGTTAATCTTTCTCTCATCAATTGGTTAATTTGATTCAGTTCGAAACAATTTTTGATTATTTCCTTTTCTACATTTAATTATTCAAACATTTGTCCATCTCTCAGAATCGTCTAACTGTTAATCACTAATCATAATGAATAAATTTCCTCAACTAATCTACATATAGTGAACCTTTCTCTCTCTCTCACTCACTCATCTTAACCATGATTAACTTGATTGTTACGATTAAATGTATGTTAATGGTGTTTTTTCGTTCATCAGTCTACACACAAACACCATTCAAATGATGATCATTTCTAAATTAACTTGATTCAGTTTAACATCTTTTCCTAATCATTTTAATCACCATTCGCAACTACAATAAATAAACACGTTTTGATGAATTAATTTGGTACGAGATTGATAAGCGTGAGGCATGAGTGCGTGCTCGAGAGTAATATTAATAATTAATATTAGATGATATTCTCGTGGTAAATAAAAATAAAATCTAATTACTTTTCAATTGGATGAAACAATTAACACAGTCAAAGGAAAAATACAAACTTACAATTTGCTTCTGAAAATTTACCGTTACAATTTCCGTTCAATGGTTAATAGTATTACAATCATTCATAAACCTGTTCTCTTGCATCATGTTGTTGTTGTTGTTGTTGTAGACTTTTGTTTTCTCTTAACAATCAATTTTAATTGTTAACAATTTAGCTTAATTGTGTTCTTACCTTTGTGATTCTCCTCGGAATACATTTTTCTGGATATAACTCAATTTGTCACTATTGGCACATAAGATCTGAGCGAATGTTGTTTTCCTAAGTTCTTGAAGTTGATCTGGAAGAGGAGAAAAAATTTTTCACAACAATTAGTTAATCATCTTTAAATTGTGAGCTTTTTGTTAAGACAACAATTAGTTGATTAGTTTGGGAAATTTTCATCCCAATAAACTTGACAATGGTTGATTAATATTATAAATATAATTGATGCTGATTGATTGGTGTCATTTAATGATAAATAATACTAACTAACTAACTAATCAACTAACTACTGTCTGGAGAGCAATTTAATAATAGATTTATATTGTAACAATTTAATTTATACAACAATTTGATTGTTGGTTAAGTAAAACCAAAAGTGAAAGGGTTCATTGAATTAACAATTGATTATATAATTGATTTGGAAAGAAAAAAAAAGTTTCAACTCAATTGATAATTTTAATTCCTATCAAATTGATTAACTAAATTAACTAAGTGTTTAGATTTTAATCAAAACGATTCTCAAATATTTTCATCATCATTCAAATTAATCTCATTGATTTTAATCATCACCATTAAAATAAAAGCTTATAATTAAATTGCATTCTCGTGGCTTCTTTATCGGGTCAATCAACTGATTAAATCAATTGTCATAATCGGTCAGCAATTAAATTAATCTT